CAGCGCCGACGAGCCCTTGCCACGGTCGTGCCCCGACAACATGGTGGTGAACCTCGAAGGGGGGCGCTGCGTGGCGCTCGTCGGCCTGTGCTGCGGCGGCGGCAAGGACGCGTCCCTCTACCGGGAGGGCGCCTTCAACGGCCATGCGGCGCGCATCACACCTGTCCTCGACGCCGCGGAGGGGGCCGTCGCCCGGGGACGCGCGGCGGCCGAGTGCGTCGACGCCGTCATCCCGCTGACTCACCAGGACATCGCCGATGATAGGACCCTCGCTCAAAAGGGCCTGTTCCCCGTCATCCTCGGCGGGCACGACCACGGCGTCTTCATGGAGGAGGTGGGCGGCGTGCCCATCTGCAAGGCGGGCGAGGACGCCTTCAGCGTCGCCGTGGTCGACCTCGAGTGGGCGGCGGGCGCGCCCCGCGGCGCCCCGACCAGCGTGCGGACGAGGCTTGTGCCGCTGGCGCAGCCGAGCCGACACAAGGGCCCTCCGCTCGAGCTCGCCCACAAGCCGTGCGCCGCCACGGCCGCCGTCGTCGAGCGGCTGCAAGCGCCCGCCGAGGAGCTGAAAAGGGCGACCCTCGCCGTCCTCGACAGCGAGAAGGAGCTCCTCACCTCGGTCGGCGTGCGGGCGGGCGAGTGCACGATGGCCTCCCGCATCGCGAGCGGGCTCCGTGCGTTCTACAAGGCCGACGGTGCCGTCGTCAACGCGGGCGCCGTGCGGGGCAATCGCGACTACGCGGACGGGGTCCTCACCTTCGCGCACCTCGCGGCGGAGTGCCCGTTCCCCTCGGAGCAGATCCTCGTCCGCCTGGACGGCGCCGCCCTGTCGGACGCCGTCCGCGAGAGCCGGCGGCCGTGGCTCGGGGGCGAGGTCTCGGGCATGGCGCTGCACGGGGACGAGGGCATGGGGATGGACGCGGCCACGGGCGCCGTGGTGGAGGTGCGCGGCGCGCCGCTCGTGCGCGGCAGGATTTACAGCGTCGTCGTAAACTCGTACCTGATGAAGGCCAACGGTGTGCTCAGGGCCTACGCCGAGAGATTCCCCGAGCGCGTGCCCCCGGACGACTCGGGCCAGCCGGCGCTGCCCATCCTCGTGCGTCACTTTTGCGACCAGGTGTGGCAGTCGCTGGTGGACCTCGACGGCGATGGCAGGATCTCCGCCAACGAGCTCAAGGAGTTCTTCAGGAAGGCGGACGTGTCGGGCGACGGGATGATCGATCCCGACGATATGCTCGCGGTCATGCGCAGGCTCCTGCCGAAGCTGCCAGCGTCGGCCGTGGTTGCCAAGCAGTGCCTCAGCTACGCGGACGCGGACAAGAACGGGAAGGTGAGCTGGCAGGAGCTCGTGGACTTCGTGCTCGTGGAGGCAGCGGGCCACGTCGGCTGAGTCGCTCGGTGACGGAGGAGCTCGCCGACGGGCCCCGACCGCCTGAGGCGGCCACTCGGAGGCCTGAACCCTCGGCCGCTGCTGGGCGGCGGCAGCCAGAGCCGAGCAGTGACGAGGCGTCCTGGTCTGCCTGTAGGCCCACCATTACAAAACAAAAAACAAAAAAAACATCACTCGTGCTTTCAGGCACTCGTTTAATCGCTTCGCTCACTCCGCCGGCCCGTATTGTGCCATCGCAGGCGATTGCCTGCGCGTTCGTGGCCTCTTGGAGGCCGTTTGGGGGCCTCTTGGAGCCTCCTTTCCCGGAAAGGGCGTGGGCCCAGGGTTCTCTTTTATGAGTTCCCCTCCGGAATCGACGGGCGTCGGGCCAGCGGAATCATTCTGCGACAAACAGCGAGGTCGCGTAGGGCCGGCGGAATTGAATTTTGAGGATGTCCCTAGCGAAACGCCTGTTTTGCATAGTGTGTTGAGGATGTCTCGAGCGAAACGTTTGTTTTGTGCTATAGATCGTTCCTCTCCTGGGGACCAGACTTCAGAGGATGTCTCAGGTGAAATGCTTGTTTTCGCGTGCCCAGGTCTCGAGGATGTCTCGAGCGAGACGCTTCGAGGATGTCTCAAGAAAAAACGCTTGTTTTGCAGATCTCGAGCGGCCTGGGCGCCCCAGGATGCCCAGGTGGTTCTGGGAGCCCGAGCACAGCGCAATTTACTAAGAAACGTGGCCGTGGGAGCGCGGACGCAGCGTGATTCACGAGGGAGCGCAGCCCTGGGAGCGTGGACGCAGCACAGTTTACGAGGGGCCGTGGCCCAGGACGTGCGGAAGCAGCGTCATTTGCAAGGGATCGTGGCCCTGGGAGCGCGGACGCAGCATCATGTACGGTGGATCGTAGCCCTGGGAGCGCGGACGCAGCGTCGTTTACAACAGATCGTGGCCCTGAGAGCGCGGACGCAGCGTAATTCACGAGGGATCGTGGCCCTGCGGGGCCGGACGCCGTGTAAGTTACCAGAGAACGTGGCCCTGGGAGCGCGGACATAACACAATTCACGAGGGAGCGGATCCTCGAAGCAAAATAATGTATTTTTTGGGGAGATAGACGGTATACGCCACCATGGACCTTCAGATAGTGGCATCGACCTAGATACATGGTGTTGATGGTGATGCCCACAACCTCCAACCTCTTTGACTTAGTTTCTCTTTGGCTTTGGAACCGTGCTGCCTAGTGTACGAAGATGGGCGCTTTGCATACGCATACTGTTGAAAGTAGTTGCTATGGACACGCGGTTGCTCCGAACCAGTAGCTAGGCTTTATAATCGGTGGAGAGATCTTCCATTTACGGTGTTCTGCAGTGGTAGTGTCTGGGCATCGCATCGGCTTGTGTGGGTGGAGTCCATCGCCGTTCTTGACACGTCCGCGCTTTGCGCTGATACCTCGCTTCCTTGGTAGGATTGTAATTCTAGTCGCTTCGCGTATCCCCACCAGCCCGTCTTCCACTGCGCTCTGCCCGGGTTCACCGTACAGTAGTTCGGCGTGGGCAGGTGGCCTGGAGTTTGGCGCCGAACCGGCGACTCACTCCGCGGTCTTCGCACACTCTGCAGCTCGTTCACTTCGGTTCACGCTGCTGCGCCTATGTGCGTTTGCTTGTGAATTTAGTTCATTTTGTTCTGTGCGTGTGCAGCTGCGAGCTTGCTTTGCAGGTGCGAACTGGCTTGCCGACATTGGCAGCTGTGTTCGCAAATTCGCACCGTGCCGCATCCCCGACGCCGCTTCCGCTCCTTGACCGTTGCCTTGGAGCCGCCGACCAAAAAAAAAAGTATCCCCACCAGCCCATCCAGAAACGATGTCCAGGCGAGTTGAGAGGTGATCAGGGAAGTGCGGGAGCAAAGAGGGGGACGGCCGAACCGTGTGAAGGAGAGAGGGGGCGAAGGAAAAAATTGGATGGATGGATGAGGGAGTAGGGAGAAGGAGGATGAATAGGATGAGGAGGAGGAGGAGGAGGAGGAGGAGGAGGAGGAGGAGGAGGAGGCGGAGGGGAAGGAGGAGGATGAGAATGGATAGGAGGAGGAAAGAGGAGGAGGAGGAGAGCAAGCAAAAGGACCAGAGGTCTCTTGGATGCTGCTCGGAGCCTCTTGAGGTACCTCTTGGACGTCTTGGGACGTCTTGGGGGTCTCTTGGCGGTCGTGGGGGGCTCTTCAGCGTCTTGGGTGCCTCGGGGGGGCCTCTTGGGGCCGCTTGGGATCCTTTGGGGGGCCTCTTGGGGGCCTCTTGGGGGCCTTTTGGGGCCATCTTGGGGCCATCTTGGGACTCCTGGGCGCTTCTTGGGGCCATCTTGGAGGAGATCGATCAAACAAGAGGGGAGCTTTAATTAGCGTCCCCCCCCCAAGATGCCAAAATGGGGCCAAAACCTTAGTAAAACCAATAATTTTGGCTTCCTCGCCGAGGCCGTTTTGGACGCTCCGGCGACTCGCGGACCCCCCCGTCCAGGTCCAGGGGAGGGTGTAGGGCAAGCTAGGTGCGCTCGCGTCATATCTGACATCCTACCCCTCCCTCCCATCCCTTACCATGGCGCAGATCCCCTCTCTACTCGCACAGTTGGATGTCGAGCAGGGCAATGATCCCGGAAGGGTACGCGATGCATTGTAGAGCACGGCATGGCATGGCGTAGAAGAGCACCGCAAAGCGTAGTATCAACCGAGCATTGCATTGCATTGCATGCCGTGGCATGGCACGGGAAATGACGCCAGCGCTGCAGCGGGAGCACGAGTCGAAACGAGCGGAAGCGCGGAAATGAGGCCAGCGCTGCAGCGGGAGCACGATTCGGAACGAGCGGAAGCACGGAAATGAGGCCAGCGCTGCAGCGGGAGCACGATTCGGAACGAGCGGGGCCCGAAAATGAGGCCGGCGCCTCAGCGAGAGCAGCATTTTGAAAAAAATGCAGGCGAAAACCCAACTCCGGGGAAACCTGTGTGTAAACAAACAGTACGCGGGAGGGGTCGGACACTCCCAGGCCGTCATCAGGGGAAGAGGGAGAGTAGTATTCATATTGAGTAATTGTGGAGGGGGAAACCCCTCCCCGAAGGGGAAGAAGGAGGGGTGGAAGAGGAAACGCCCTGAACCCCCGACGCCCAGAGGGCTGGTGGGATTCGCACCGTTGTGCTTGCCCTCTAGGCCGCCGATCGTGATGGCGCAGAACTTGCCGTTTCGGACTCGGCGGGGGATATATTTATCAACCGATGGCAGCACCAGAAGTCTCCTCGGGATGTGTTCGATCGAACAGATTATCTTGATAATCGTATCAGGTCGTGAGATACGCATACGCAACCTTGTACCTGACTCAGGGCCCCCTGAACATCAAATGGCAATGGGTACAGACATATGTGAAACAACTGCTTAGCACACGCCATGCTTGCTGAAACTTCTGAGCTGTGCTACTGCACAAGAATACATCTGCATAACTCGATATAATTGAAGTTGTATTGACACGGGCGGAAAAGGGAGTTAGCACAGATTCATTCAAAATCGCACACTGCCAAGATCAGGGCTCCCCGGAACTTTCCCAGGAAACAAAACCTTGAAACTCAGATGGGAACAGGACCGAAACTCAAACAGATAGAACGTCACAAACACCGCGGGTCCCCTGCACAAGCCAGTCTGACTCGAATGTGAGACTCACCGGCGGTCGCGACAGCGACATTGATATCTCTTTGATTTGTCAGCACGCCGGGCGATCGGTCGACCTCGCCGGGCAGAAACGTGCAGAGGGTGTGCTCCTCGGAGCACTCAGCCACGAGTCGGCCTCCGCCGGCCAGCTTGTTCACGTCGGCCCTGCTGGCCGTCATCCACCTGTCGGCCTCGCCGATCATCCTGCCAAACTGGCTTCCTGCCAAAAGGGCCTCTGGGTACCCCGTCATCCTGTCACGAAAGCTCCGCGGGCGTACTCGGGCAGCGGCTGGAACCTCGGCGTGCTGAGATCCAGATTGTAGCGACACTGCGACTGGACGAGCACGCTGCGTACCTTCTTCTGCTTCGTCGGCTTCGGGTCGGTCCCGGTCACGGTCGTCTTGACCTTGACGGGTATTGGCTTTGTCTCGGGCTCCCGCGTTTTCTCGATCTTCGTGTCATTCTCGAGCTGCTTGGTCCAGCGTGTCCACCGCACTCCAGCACGAAACCCGCAGTACAATGCCACAACAAGTCCCATCACGAAACCGAAAACTATCATCTTCATGATCAGGTCGTGCCAGTCGGCTGGCGTCGGTGGGTTGAACAGCTCGACGCCGCTGGGCGTATACCGTACCACCTGACCTGCCGCGCTACCGCCTCCGCTAGCTGCCAGTGCCGCAGCCAGCTTCGCTCTGTTACTTGCGCCGAAATGGCGCTTGCCCTTGGCCTTCGTTTCCTCCTTCGCCTCTGTCACGGGCGTCGCCTCGAGGGTGTCGTGCAGTGCCCTCGCCAGCGTCGTCCAGCTCCTCCTCGCGTCGCTCCATCGCCCTCTTGGAGAGCTTCTTGCCAGCCACGAAGTCGGGGAGTCGTAGCGCAAAACGCATGCACTCCACGGCGCAGCACGTCTGCCATCATCTGGCGGGCCGAGAGCTTGGATCGAATTTTCAGTGGCCGGAGTTCAAATTTCACGAGGCGCACCAGAATTTCATGTTGAGTTCTTTGGTGAAAGGGCGTCAGCATGGATATTCCGATTACGAGCCCGTCCGCCATCTGCTGCTGTGTGTTCACCCACTTCCAGGAGGCGCCCATCTCCGCCATCTGCTCGTTCACGATCCTCACCTCGATGGCCGCCCTCTTCTCCGCGATGCCCAGGCCTGCCGTCGCTGAGCGCGACGCGTCGTAATGGCACTTCGCGTCCGTGGTGAACGGCGACTCTCCAAGGTACACCATCGCTCCTTCGAGCTCCAGGTCGGGTCGCAAGCTCCGCGCCAGGTAGACCTTCACCCACATCAGCGAGTCCGCGCCCAAAGCTGCTGCCTGGGCCTCCGCCGACAGCGAGCTCCTGCACAGACGCTGTAACATCTTCGAGGCCCACTCCAAGGCCACGAAATGCGTCGGGGTGCCGGCGTTGAGTTCGTCCGCGGGCCCGATGAAGATCGCGTAGCCTCGTTGCGAACTGCCGTCATGTCGGCTCGCCCAGCTCGCGTCGGTGTAGCTGCCAACTCGCAGGTCGCTCCAGGCCCTGTCGAACCCGAAGAACAGCCCTACGTCCGCGTTGGCCTGCAGAAAGCGCAGATCCTTGTTCGCGTCCAGCAAGTCCTGCACGATGGCTCGTCCTGACACGTTTGCCGCTGCTATGATCACTCCTTGGGCTGCCGGCCACTGCAACTGTCCGTTCAGGGGCCTGAAGTTCGTGAGCTCCTTCGGCGACAGCGCACTCGTGGGGTCAGCTCTCTGGTGCTTCTCGACGGTGATGGGTTTCACCGCATGCAGGTATTTCTCGTACGTGGGTCACGCTGTAGGTGCTCAGGGACTGCTCCACCCAGTGAAGATCAGACTCGGCCAGAAATCCCACTTGCCGAACTTGAACTTCTCATTGAGCGCACCTAGCCGCGCCTGGAAACACTCGGTGTCGTCAAGCTTCGCGTGGAGGTCCTGTTCGTTCGTCACGCCCTCGCCGCAAGCGATGAAGTCGTCCACGTGCTTGCCGATCAGGCCGTCCACCACTTAGGTCTGGCCCTCGAAGCTGCACGCGTCGAACGGGTCATCCTCGTCCTTCGCCGGGCGCAGGGACAACAGTGGGCAATCCTCGAGCTTGTGGTTCCTGAGCCCGATCTCCTTCGTGACTTCGTCGGAGCGGTAGTGCCAGAGCTTGGGTGACCGCGGGTCACCGAAGCACGGCTTGATCTTCTAGAGCAGCTGTCCAGGTTGCAGGCCGATCGGGTGTGAGAGCACCTCTCTCATCTCCTTCGTCGGGCTTGCGTGCAGCTTAAGGCCGTGCACGCTCACGTCCTCAGCCTGCAGGAAAGCGGACTTCATATCCGCGGTGAACAGCCTCCATTTTCTCAGAGACGCCCAGAGCATGACCGTGTGTCGGCCAAGCCTGCTGAGGATCGGCGCCTCCTTGTCGAGCTGGCCCTCGGCGACGTGGCTGTGCTTCACCCCCTGGTAGAGTACACGCGCGTTGGCTACCTTCTGCCCGTTCTTCATCTTCCACTTGAGTAGGAAGCGTAGAGGGCAGCAGGCTGCGGGATCCACATCCGCGTCGTTGATGGGCCCCCAGCCGTCGTTGCGATTGAAAACCTCGAGGGCCTCCAGTTTCTCCGCGTAGAACTGGTCCTTCTCCTCAGGCGTCAGCCTCCCCTCCACGATAGTGGGGGCTTCCCTCTTGAAGGCCAGCATGTAGACCGTCTCGGTGGACTCCTCCAGCAGCAACATCCCGTCATCCACCTCATCGGCGAGCGCAGCCTCCTCGCTCTGCGAGACATGCTTTGCCCATGCCAGGCGGGCGCGCTTGGCCAGCGGGATGCCGTCCAGCTTCTCAGCCTCCTCGACACTCCTCTTAGCCATCGCCTCGATGTGGAGTCTGCTAGGCTCCTGCGCAGCGCTGCCAGACGCGCCGGCGCTGGCCGCTGCTGGCCCGTCGTCTCCAGGTGCCGCCGCGGCAGCTGCTCCTGTCGGTCTGTCGGTCTCGTCCGTCTCCATGGGTGCCCGGGCGGTGGGCTGATGCTGCTCGCCCATGTCGTCCAGGGTGTCGTCGTACTGGGGCAAGCGCCCCTCCTCGGCGAGGTCCCGGTAGTTGCAGGTCCCCTTTGTCCGCCTGAGCACGCGCCTGAGCTTCTCGATCGTGCTGAGCGGGCTGTCGGGGTCCTCGCTGCGTCCTTCACGCTCGCGAGCTTCGCCTGGCAGCTCGGGGCGAAACTGTTCCACGGTGCATCGGGAGATCGTGCATCCGTGCGTCACCCACACCACTGAGGTGTGCATCACGTTGTCCTCGTTGACCTTCGCCTCCACTGCCACCACCAGAGATGGCCGTGCCAGTTGTACTTCTCCAGCTCCTGCGTCTGCTCTGGTCGCCAGAAGTAGACCCACTCGCCGATCTCGTAGTTCCTCCGCGTCGGCCTTCTGTTTGCCAGCAGCGCCGCTCGCACGGCGCGCGAGCAGTTGGCCTCGATGAAGGCTGTGGCGGCGGCCGTCCCCACCTGATCATCATCTCGTTCACCTCGCTCTTGGGGTCAACCAGCGCGGCCTGCTCCGACAGGCCGAAGTCCTCATCGCAGAGGGCGCCTGGGATCTTGGAGTGCGCCCCCAACACCAGCACCGCGGGCGAGAACCCGCGCGCGTTCCTCAGGGTGCTCCGCTGGCTGGCGGTCATCCCGAGGGCGGTCTTGAGCGAGTCGTCGGGGAACGGCAGGTGGTATTTGCTCTGAGCTGTTCCCTCCCGACCGCGTGGTTCCGCTCCGTCAGGCCCAACATGTGGTGCGCGCCTTTCGGGATCAGGTCGAGCTTGATGCTATACTTTTTCATCCAGTCGTGCATGCGCTTGGCCGTGTGCGAGGCTCCCATGTCCATCCGCGTCGTCTCGGGCTTGCCGGCCCAACTGATCCAGAGCTTCTCCCATAGCTTCGTCTCCTTCTGAAACATCTCCTTCGAGATCGGGTAGTTGACCTCGTAGCGTGTAAACTCGTCCATGATGGCCAGGATCTTCCTCCTTCTTTTTCCACGTGATGTAGTACACGTCGGTGCAGACCACTTCGTTGAACCTCTTGGCCCTCGGCAGCACTGCGACACGAACTGCTCGGGGCCTATGCCTAGGCAGATCTCGCACTGCAAAAGCCTGGCGCACTGGATCCACTCCGCCGGGGCACCCGCATGCTGCATGGCAACCGCCAGCGCGGCGTTCGAAGGATGGCCCAGCCTGACGTGAGCGCGCTTGACTGCTCGGATTGTCGATACGCTGAACCGCTTCATCAGCTCCTGCATCACGTCGGTGTACTCGATGGCGTCGATGTCCTTGTAGATCTCCTCGGCCGTGTTGATGTTGCTGATGCCGTCGGCCATGCCCTGGTAGGCGATCAGGTAGGCCATCCTCTTTGCCATCGGTTTTGGGTAGTTCTGAGCCTACTGGGCGAGCTTGCCCCGCAGGATCACGTGGCCCTCCGTACACGCGCATGCCAGATTAATATGGTGAATGAACTCCTTGTTGTTTGACTGCAGTCTCGTGGGCTTCTGGTAGGGCATGTCCTTGCCCTTGATCGTGTACTTCGCTCCCAACCTGCTCTGGTCGAGTCTGCAGCGATATCCTGGCAACTTCTTCCACGTCTTCGTCCGCCAGTGTAGTCCCTGCCACGGACTTTCGACATACGCGTGTCGGTTTCCGTCCTGCTGCTTCACAAACGCTGTCATAATCATTTTGAGAAACGTCCGCTCGTTCGCTCCCTGGCATCATTGATCTCCTCGTTCACGTGCTGTCAGGAGCACCAGTACTTGCACGGGGGAGCGACGAAGATATCGTCGGGCTTGTCGTTGTCGATCTTGTTCAGGAAGTCGCGGATCACGGCAGGCTTGGAGAAGTCCCAGCCGTCTTCGATCCTGAATTCGAGCACCTCGATCTGCGGGTACTCGAGGAGCTCTTGCGACAGAGCCCCCTGATCCGCGAAGACCTCCCAGACCATCCGCTTGCGCGGCCCGCGCAGCGTGTCCTTCATGTCGGACTCCGCCTGCTCCAGCGCCAGGGCCAGGTCCGAGTAGGTGTCCGTATCCACCAGGTGGCGCTCCGGGCCCACGACTTCCTCCGTGGCCAGGGTCTCGTCGGAGCTGCCGATGTCGTAGAAATCCGTCCGCGTCTCGAGGTAAAACGCATCGGGGTCTGGCGCCGACGAGTCCTCGTCGTCGCATTCGTCGCCCTTGAACGAGCCTCCTTCTGTGTCTTTATCCGTCGAGTCGCCGCTGCTGTCATCTCAGTCGGTGGGGGGCTCCCTCGTTCACGGCGTCGTCGGCGTCGCGGCCAGCTCCACCCGACAGGTCTATGATGAAATGGCCCTTCTCATCGCGTTCATCCAACCCTTGTCGGGGAGATCCTTCATCATGAACGTTCCAGCTCGATAGTCCTGGATCAAGCCCCACTCCTCCATGCAGGATCGCGCGATCAGCAGCGGCGTCCAGCCCTCCACGAGATGGATCGTGATCTGCTTCTTGACGCCGAACGGCCACACCGTCAGTGTCACAGCTTGTTAAGCCTCCAGCGTCTTGCCGTCTCCGAATCGGAAGCGTCGATCACTCTTGCCACACTCGAACTTATGCAACAAATTCTTCGAACGAAGTAGCTCCTCCCACTGCATCCACACCTTGCCGCCCATGACGGGTCGCGTGGCACCCCCGTCGCTGATGCCTTTGCCTACGGTCAGCAGGAAGATCTCCTCGGTCGAGTTGGCGCACTCCAGCGTCTCAACATCCTCCACCATGCGTGCCTCGTACTCGGGCTTAGTGAAGCTACCGTGCCTGAAGCGCTTGAACCTCGGGCCATGCTGCTGGGTAGAACCCGATGCAGTCAAGCCCGCTGGCGACGGTGGCGCACCCTTGCCGAACGCTCCCTTCTGAGACCAGAAAGCTTCACGTGGAGCTCTCCTGTCGGGTCTACCATCCTTGCCAGCCAGTCCAATCCGTGCACCCAGAGATCCGATGCCGTGATTTTTTCAGGACGGCGTCCCCGGAAGTCCCGACCCTTTCCTTAGGACGGGCTTCTCATCCTGAGTCGTTTTTTGACGGTCCCAAGGCCCGGCGAGGACCCCCCGGGGCCGAAAATGGCCCAAAACCGTTCGTCTTCATTTTTTACGACGCGAGCATGTCTGGGTCCTGTCGGGTCCACCCAGCCTTGCCAGCCAGTCCAATCCGTGCAGTTGGCCTCGTCCGCGTCCACGCTGCTCGGCGGGATGCGGCTGCACCCCCGCACCAACACGGCGGGAGCGGCGGCGGCAGAGGCTGCCGGCGGGCCACCTGGCGGCGGCTTGGCCCGGGGGGCGGCGCGCGAGGCGCGCCGTTTGGCATGGGGGCCCGCGTCTCGAAAAAATCGAGACGTCGGATGTCTGGGGAACCGGAGAAAGTGGATCTCCGGATCTCCGGTTCCGCTACCAGTATCAACCGATGGCAGCACACGAAGTCTCCTGGGGATGTGCTCGGTAGAAGAGATTATCTTGATAATGGCATCAGGTCGTGAGATGCGCAATTTTGTATTTGACTCAGGGGCCCCTGAACATCAAATGGCAATGGGTACACACATATGTGAAACAACTGCTTAACACACATCATGCTTGCTGAAACTGCTGAGCTGTGCCAACGCACAAGAATACATAAGCATGACTCGATAGAACTGGGGTTATATTGACAATATTGTCGCCGCCTGGCGCCTCAGCGAATTCGTCAACACCCACTTTGCACGCACAAGTCCCCTTTCGTCTGGTTCGATTGGCCTCTGCAGGGACCTCCTTGGACGAAAAACAAAGGATCACGAGGGAGCGCGGCCCTGGGAGCGCGGATGCATCGCAGTTTACGAGGGGTCGTGGCCCAGGGAGAGCGGACGCAGCGCAATTTACGAGGGATCCTGGCCTTGGGAGCGCGGACGCAGCGTACCTTGGCGTCCTCGTGGCACGTCCTGTGGCAAGTCGCCTGGCGCGTGCCTTGGGACGTCCAGCGGCGCGTCCCCCTGGCAGATCCCCCTGTCAATTAGCTTTGTGATGTTCCAGCCTGCTTTGGCCTTGATTGCCAAAAAGAATCTCGAGCTCCAAGAAAGTACCGAAGCCGGAGGGTTTTCACATGTCGGGCCCTAGGAGGCGATACTCGTTCGACACCGTTTCGATTTTTTCTGGGTGCACGAGATTATTTCTGCGACGTGGTCCTTAAGTACGATGGGAACAACATGAATTTAGCTCTGGGGCCGCTACTATGTGCTCAGGCAGCTCGAGCTTAAGATCCAGATCAGTTCGGTCAGGACTCGGATGCAAAGGAGGACTCGATCTACAAAGCTATAGAGCACAATCCCGGCATGGCACATCGCAATTCGGCACGGCGCAGCGCAGCACAGCCCTTGGCACGGCACAGTCGGGGCCCTGAAGAAGGAACCCTTTTCGTTGGGGAGGGGCTCCGCGTTCCTTAAGTGTTTCACAGCTGGCCTCAGGTTTTCCTTCTGTTTTCGATCGGAAATCGAAGTTTAAGTCATGGAAAAAAAGGGGCCTCGTTCCTTATTTTGGGTTCCTTAGGTCAAGGCCCCGACTGTACATCAAGATCGATACACTCAGCATTGCAACTTGTCACGTTCCTTGGCAAGTTCCGTGGCGCGTCCCGGGGCGTGTCCCCTTGGCACCTTGCGCGACGCGTCGTCTGGCACGTCCCGTGGCACGTCCACTGGCACGTTCCATAGCGCGTCCCTTTGGCACGTCCCGCGGTGCGTCCCCACGGCACGTCTCCTGGCACGTCGCCTGGCGCGTCCCTTGGGACGTTCCGCGGCGCGTCCTCCTCGCATGGCCCCCTGTCAACTAGCTCTGGGGCAGCCACTGTGTGCTCGGGCAGCTCGAGCTTAAGAACAACATCAGTTCGATCAGGACAACTAAACCATCACTCGTGCTTTCCAAAAAACACTCGTGCCTTCAGGCAATTATTCGCACGTTCGCATGCCACTGCGATTCTATGGCGGTCAGCATGGCCAGTGCCAGTTCTGCCGTTCTCGGTCGTCGGCTGGTCAGGCCTGTGCTGCTCGTCCCAGCGAGCCGTTGTGCCAGTGTCCGTCTGCGGATGGGATGATGTTGTGGAGCGCCGCTCGCTCCCTTCGCCTCCTCCTCCTCGAGCTCCTCCTCCTCCTCCTCCTCCTCCTCCTCCTCCTCTTCAACCTCCTCCTCCTCCTCCTCTTCAACCTCCTTCTCCTCCTCCTCCTCCTCCTCCTCCTCCTCCTCGTCCTCCTCCTCCTCCTGATCCCCTCCACTTCCTCCTGCTCCCTCCTCCTCCCCTCCACTTCCTGCTCCCGCGGCCGCGAGCCCGACAGGGCGCACCGCACACAGGGGAGGCGGGGCGTCCGCGCGCCCCGGCGACCCCGGCAGAAGGGCTGGGTGGCCGCCAGGGGTGCGCCGAGGGGCTTCGCCTCCCA